AACTACCTGCTTTTCATCTGTGCTGCTCTGAATCCCAAACAGACTATAAACTTCCTGAGGGCAGGGGCTTCTCTCTGCTCTTTTCTTTAAAAAACCAAACCAAAACAACAAAAACTCTCTAGCTTAAAAAAAAAAAGGAATGTTTAGAGAAGGCACTCAGCAGTGATTAGCACAGGGAGGTGGGGGAGGGGGCAGAGGAAGCTTCTCCTTTTTTCATGCTGCTGCTACTGCCATTCTTTTTTACTAAAATAAACAAAATCTCCCTTGCAAGGCTGGAAGAGAGCTAAGGAATCATCTGGTCCTCCTTGGTTTACATTCATGAGAGCAGAGGCCCAGAGAGAAAGCAACTCGTTCACAGTCACCCAGTGATGGATGACACAGCCATACCCAGGAGAGACTGCCCTCTGCAAGAAGATCCAGCATGCCCAAGTGTTGCGTGGCGGCACACTGCTTTAAGCCCTTCATGTGGATTAACTCGTTCAATTCTCCTGGTAACTTTGTTCTCAAACCCATCATACAAACAAGGAAACTGAGGCAGAGAGAGGCTAGGAATGTGCCCAGGCAGGTCATCCAGCCAGGAGGCAGTGCACGGACCAGGGTGTGGATTTGGGCAGCAAACAGTCCCTGCTCTTTACTGCTGTTGGCATTGGGGCTGCAGGTGCAGTGAGCAACGGAGGCTGCAACCCCTGCCCCTGCCCCTGCCCCATGCCCTGACCCTGCCCGGCCCCCAACTCACAGCTGTCCATTCTTCTCCGTGTAGAAGCGCACAGATTTTATGGTGGCCACCACCACAATCATGCACAGTGTGACAGGCACAAACAGCATGATCACGTGCTTTGCCCCATATTTGAGGGTCAGCTCCTCCTCCAGGCCCGGCGGCCGCCCGGGAACCCCACTGCAGACATAGCGGTCAGGGTCCTCCTCGTGGTCCTCCTCGCTATCCTGGCTTCTCTGTGAGAGACCATGTTGTGAGTATCACAGAATGCCCCCAGCTGCAGGCCTAACGACATAGCGCATGGGTGTTTTGGAACCAGAAACAAGACGTTTGGATGTTGCTTTCCAGATATAAGAACCAGTCTATGGGCTGTACTTTAGATATGGGAGTGGTGGGATTCCAGGACATCTGCAAAGTTTATGAGGATACCTGGAGAAGACTTAGAGTTGGTAATAACCACCAAAGATGCAGGAAGCAAGGCCATGGTAGCCACAGGAGAGGACAGACTGCAGAATGGGTTTGCAGCATGTCTAAAGATCTGCCCTTTTCCTCAGGACAGAACTCAGGATGCCACTCAGCTTTGTTCCCACGGTCATACTAATGTGGGAGGAGACAGGACAGGTGATAGTAAGAAGGCAGAGACTAAACATCTGTGGTTGACAAATCAAACTAGAATGCTCAGTACAAGTGTAAACTCTGGTTGTAAATAATACATGAAAATTTGCAGAGTAAGAAGTTACTTTCAATGTTTTGCCCCTAAAAATCAAGCACGCAAAATTTGCACCTCTGGACCAAAGAGGCTAACTGGGTGTCAAACATTTGAGAGGATCTGGACTAAGGGGGAAGGTTGGGGAATATAAATGAGGAGGCGGCAAAGGAGGGCAGGACACCTGCCAGTCGCTGGCACAAACTGATCTTCACGAATTTGTTTTGGAATTGTGGCGATTCAGGGTCATTAACTGCCTTGTTAATTATATTAATAGCCAAGACAATGTCAAATGAAACAAAAATTAAAAATGACCGTTGCTTTGTTATCAGTTCTTTGCAGAGAGAATTCCATGGAGACATTCAGCTAAGAAGGAAAGGAAAACTGTTAATGAACAGGAACTGAAACAACTGAAATGCACAAAAACTCCAGGAGATAAAAGAACTAGCAAGAAACTGCTAAGGAGTGCCATGCAGTGGCCTTGAGCTGGTGGCACCTCTCTCAGAGCACAGAGAGGACCGGAGAAATGAGCTCAAGTTCCAGCAAAGAGGATTAAGCCTGGCTGGAAGAAAAAATTCCACACAGGTTTCTTAAATAGTATAATGGGCAAAACAGAGAATGAGACTCGGGCAAATTCAAATGTTGTTTTATCCTGATGGGGAGGGAGGTGGCTTGGCAAGGTGGCTCTCCTAAGTCTGTCATCCACTTTATAATGCTATCATTGCCTGCCCTGCCGGCTGCAGAGGTAAGATCACAGTGCTGCCCACCCCTCCTGTTACAGGCTAAATGTTTATGTCCCCCAAATTCCTATTTTGAAACCTAACCCTCAATGTGACGGTCTTAGGAAGCGGGAGCTTTTAGGAGGTGATTAGGTCATGACGGTGGAGCCCTCATGAACGAGATTACTGCGCTTATAAAAGAGACCCCAGCGAGCCCCCTCACCCCTTCCATCACCAAGAAGACAGCTGCCTATGAACCAGGAAGTGGACCCTCACCAGATACCAGATGTGCCAGCACCCTGATCTTGAACTTCTCAGCCTCCAGGACGGTAAGAAATTTCGCCCAGTCTATGGTATTTCTGTTATAGGAGCCTGAATGGACTAAGAAGCATTTGCAGCTCAAAAGTCAAACATGAATCAGGTACACCCATCTCCTGGCTACCACATCTGGCCGTCCACCAAAAAGGTTCCCTCCAGCAGTTTCTTCCTGCTGTCCTTCAGCCTCTGTGCTGCCTGCCCTGGCATCCAAACCCACTCGCAGGTTCTGAGGAAACAGTAGCCTGCACTGGGAAGGTAAATCTAAGGGGCAGGGCCAGGGTGCAGAGAATCACTCAGTCCATCAGAGTCAGTCGTTAATAGGCTGTGTATGTCTTGAGTCTGCTATAAATAAAGCCCTCACGGACCTAAGATCTGCCACGGGGGACCACTCATCCTTCTGGCCAATTCTCTCACCTTTACTTTCCCCTCCCTCCCGCATCAGGGAATGTCTGGTTTCCATTCATTAGGTACAGGAACCCCAGAGGCCTGTCTGGAGTCCTCAGACTCTGGCAGGAACCTACCCACTGGGCAGCACTCTCTCCGTCCTCCAGGCCTTGCCGGCCCTCCTGGCAGGAGCGCGGCGTGGGGCTCTCAGCCGACATCAGTGACGTCCGCTCGTCACACACTTCTTCCTCGCTGTCAGAGGCCATGAACGTGAGCATGGCCCCGCGTCCGAAAGTGCCTGGAAAAAGGAGCAGAGGGGACCCTGTTCCACTTTTCTGCGAGGCAAGGGCAGCGGAGGGTGAGAGGTGGCTTTAAGACCTGGACACAGGTCCTGCCCAGCAACGACTACCCAGGACACACATGTCAAAAGGACTGCTGTAAAGTAACAGTCCCCAGGAGCCACCACTGAGGCTGCTGTGGCCTCAAGAGGGACTAGCTAGAGGAGATCCAGGCCACAGGGGGCAACATTCCCAACTGGAAATGTCAGGGCCACTCCAAACTGTCAACACAGTCATGCATTCAATCAACAAACATCTATTCAGCACCTTTGGTGTGCCAGTGACAACTCTGTCCTAAAAAACCCCCAAAAACCAGCCATCCAGTGTGACAAATTATACAATCCAGGTGTTCACTGGAAGGTACAGAAGCACAAAGACAGGACTAAGACTCAGAGACCAGGAATGCTTTCTAGAAAAGATAACATTAGCCGATGGAGAGAGGCAGGAAGGAAGGACAGGGTATGAAGAATGTTCCTGCCAGGGCCCTGCACTTCCAGGGCTAGTGTGGGGGTAGGGGCTGGGAGTAGGAGTAGGGCTGTGGAGGTGTAAGGGGTCTCTGGTGCTGTGTTAAGGAAATGTGCTTCATCCCCCGAGGACAGAGATGTCAGATCAGATCTCTGGTTAAAAATATCAGTCTGGCCACTAACTGAAAAAGGAGGGAAGGTGACCTCCCTGGAGACAATTGTGGGAAATGAACAGGGTGGCAGCAAGATGGATGTGAGTGAGGGGGTAGAATTCTGAAAGGGTAGGAGGCAGCCAGTCAGGGCCAGATGCAGGGGATAAAACAGGACAGCATAGCCAGGCAGGGAGTAGGATGGGGGAGAGCAAGGTTTCAGCAGAAAGACTGTAAGCTTGATCCAGGAATCTGTTGATGTAAACAGGTTAAAGGGGGAAAGAGTCTAGGAGGTGGCTGAGTGCCCTGGTCTGAGGCAGAGGGGAGGGAGATGAGAGTCATTAGTTTAAAGTGGCAGCCGTGGGAGCAGTGAGCTCAGACCAGGGGGGCGAGTGTGTGTGAGGACTGTCCCCCAAGATCGCTGTGCTGCCCCAAGCAGTGTGTGTCCACAGCAGCACCACGTGGGAGCAAGGGTGGCCTGAAGCCCTACTGACACCCTGGGCAGGGCCAGCAGAGCCACCATCGGGACCAGCTCCCTCATCACTAGCCTCCTGGAGAAACTGGGGCTAAGCCTCATGCTACTAGGGACAGATAGTGAGGTCTGCTCTTTGCTCTGAGTTTGTCTCCACATCAGTCACCCCCAGAATTTATAATGTTCAAACGGAGTAGGCAGGTTCCTTCTACCAACTCAGCCAGTCCTGTTCATCTTGGCAGGGTCTGTGGCTGTTGCTTTTTTTGAAGACAGTGCCCCAGGCTGTGTCCTGGATATACCCAAGTGGAGTTCAACTCCATCCCCCAAGTACAGGCCCACAGCAGAGCCTGACTCTGCTCACCTCACTGACTCAGACCCTTCCAAAAGACTCCCTGGAAGGGATTTAAAAATGAATAAGTAAGCTCCCCTGGGTTTAGCAGAGATAAGACTAAGAGAGGGGACAGTCTATCAGCTGTGGGGATTAGACATCTCAGGTCTCGAGGAGAAGATGGACATGAAATGGGCCTCAAAGATTAGGAATATATTGCCAGGCAGAGACTAAAGGAGGTGGGGCATATGGAAGGTAACTCAGAAATAGATGATGGAAGGGGGACCTGGCAGGTCCTATTCTGACAACACCCAGCAATCTGCTGTGGCTGAAGCGTGGGGACCAGGGAGGCAGCGGTGGGAGGTGGGACCACCCCAGGGAAGGGTGTGGGGGTTGAGGTGGAGGCTGACCGAGGGGGAGGAGCTGACGCTGGCAGGGGTGGGGCACAGGGAGGGCACGGGGAGGAGCATGAGGGTTTCAGAACTGAAGACCGAAGTGAACGGAGTGCTCTTTGTGGGAACAGGGTGCCTGCTGAGCACTCCCACCTCTTCCAGGGAACCCCCAGGGCTGCAGAAAGCAGACCTGCCCCTCAGTGGCCAGACCTTGGAACCAGCAGAGTCCACATAAAAGCATAACTTGAAGGGACACAGCTTTGCAGCCCAACATGCTGTGAGGCCTTGTGAAGTTCTTAGCTTTACTTCCTTCATCTGTGGTAACGAAAGAAACTATCTAATGGAGATCCAAGAAGAGAAACTATAATGCTCTCCTCTGCAAGGCTTGGCCCCGCTAGGTAAATCCTCAGCAGATGCCTGCTTGGACCCAGGAGACACCCTCATGGCCTACTCTGACCATGGTGAGTCCATCCTTAAACACAGAGCTGGCTGCGTTTCCTCAAGCTACATGAGGACAGTCCGTCTGGAGCAGTGCAGTGGCTCTTTCAATACTTTGCTTTACGGCAGCAGTTTGTTTAGGGTGTGAGTTAGTAATTTAGTTCCGATCGCCCTCCTTCTGTTTCTTCCATGCCTCTGGAGGGCCTGGGATTTATCTTCGCAGTGACCAGAGGTGCAGATCAGGAATCCTTGCGTCTAAACATCAGGGCTGCAGCCCCCGAGGGCAGAGGGTAAGCTCACCCTTCAAACCACAACAGGTGCAGCATCCGGGCTACCCCTTCTCCTAGACTCCCGAACAGCAAAGCATGAGGGAAATGGACCAGAATGAGCGAAGATGCTTCTTGGAAGGAGAAAGGGAGCTACGGCGCAGGTGAGGACAGAAAAGCAAGGGACACAGGATCAAGGAGGGTTAGGGCGGCCTTCCAATTTCCATCTCTTCAGCCAGTAGCCAGTTCCCAGGAGAGCACTCCTGCCCCACAAAGTCTGAGAAGGGAGGGTCTACGGAGGGTGGGTCTAAGGGAGGACTGTATCCCTTCCACGTGGAACTGCACTGCCCCGAGGGAGAAACGTCAGGATACTACAAAACATGCTTTTCCATCCAACACGTACTTCATAGCCTCCTCACCAGGAAACTAATGCTCCCTGAGCAGCTTCCTTCCCTCCCTGGGCTGTGCCTGACCCCCAGAAAAGCAGGTCACAGAGGGGGCTGCAGCAGCTGGTCTGGGCCGTCAAAGCAAGGGCACCCTAACCACAGCCCCTGGGCCTGGTGGGCGTGGATGGACTTGTGGAGGTGCCTCTCAGAGCTCCAGGCACCTGAGGATATGGCTTAGGACAAAAGGAAGGCTGCATCCCCTGAGATGCTGTTTCTCAAACCTGAGCGGGTAGTGGTGGAACAGGCACTGAGCCCTTTCTGTGCACCAAACACAGCAGTCAGGAAGGAGGTACTGCCATTCTTCCCCATTTTACAGATGAGGAAACAAATTAAAAAACTGACAGTCACCCTTGGACTTAGGTAGGTTCTGAGCTCTTAAACACTATGCAAGGCTACTTATTTAAAATGTACCTCCCAAGCTCCATCACGACCAAAGGTCCAGGGATCTGCATTTTGAGACAGTCCCAAGCTGGTGTTAGACCTTCCCTGGAGCTGCCCCTGCCAAGTAATCAGATGTCCCAGCCTGGGCCCCTGGCTCGGTACTGCAAGTGTCCAGTTACAGTCCACCTCCCTGTCGCAGGGGCAGGGCACCTCACCCACCTACCTTGACACACCTATTGCTCTGCACTACTTGCTCGCTGAACGGGGGAATGAAAGAATGAACAGTCCTTTCTCCTGAACGGCCCATGCCTGGTCAGAGAGCCACTGGGGAGGCAGAGGAGCAGAAGCTCTTTAGACTAGGAGAGCCTCAGGGGGAGAAGAGTTACCAGGATGAAAAAGTCCCCAAGCACTGCCCACCGTGGAGGAGGGTGTGGAAAAACTGGGTCTCAAACACCCCCTCATACAAACTGGACCAGCCTTTCTGAAGGCAGTAAAAATCAAGAGCTTTAAAAACATTCGTACCTTTTGATCCTGAAATGCTACTTCTCGGTATTAGTCCTAAGAAAACAATAAAAGATTTACATAAAAACATGGTTGTTGCAGTCATTTATAATCGTTAAAAAAAAAGTGAAAATGACTAAGATTCCTGACTCTGTATGATAATACATCCATCTAATGAGGTCTATTATATGACTACTAAAAATCTTATTTCAAAGAATATTTAATAACATGAAAAAAACAAGATGTTAAATTTAATAGATACAAAACTTCACATATATAACCATCTGATTTTCTTAGAAAATGCATGTATAGCTATAGAATATCTATAGTATATATAATGTATATAAAATCTATATAATCTATATAATGTACAGAAATGAAGGACAGGCAATTTACAAAATATTATAAAACATAAAGGTGGTTTTCTTTGGATCGCAAGATTGTGGGTGATTTTTACTTTATACTCTTCTGTATTTCTCAAAGCTTCTATAGTAAACATAGATTGTGTCTGTAGTTTGTTTTTTTAAGCTACTCATTTTTTAAAGAGAATAATGAATATCAACATTTAGAGAGATTTTCTTCCATCCTGCCCTCTCCCGCATCCCCTCTCACTGGTCTGGGAGGAACAAATGGACTCATGAAGCTACTTTACACCTTTTCCGGGCCCCACTTATTACCTGGCTCCTTAAGAAAAACAGAGCGGCTGGGACGTACTCCTTCTGCTTCTAAGGTGGAACTGAAGCCTGATGGTACTCTGAAATCCTTGGAGGGAAAAAATCACCACTCAAATGTGTGCAGATAAACAAGCTTCTTGCTGGATGTTCATCCACACCAGAGCACCAGTGACGCCAAGAACTCCCGCCGGGAGGCTGAGTCACAGGCAGGTGGGGGTGGGGCCGGGTGACTCTCCTATCGCTGATGTCAAATCCTATCAACTACATAGCAACCAGCTCTCCACTCCCTCAGAGGGAGCAGCAGGAAAACACAGAGAAGCTGATGGGAGGAACGGGTGCGCTAGACCCTGGAAACCCTTCCCAGAACAAAGCACTGTGGCCAAAAGCTGCCTTGGATCAGGATGCACAATCACACATTCAAAGAAACCACTGCTCACTCCCATTAATTGGCTGAACAGGACTCAAATGCTGAATTAGCCAAACCAAGGAAATCTGACCCAGAGAATTTCCCCAACCTTGCTTGTGCCCGCAGTTCCTGCCATTATTATGGGAACCCTGGTGACACAATTTCCTCGACCTTATTTTCATTCCAGAAAAATGCAAAGGTTCTGACCATAAAATCTAACTAGGAAACAGATTCCTACCTAAGTAGGAAACTGATTTTTAAATGCCATGGTAAACACTGATGCCTCATGGGAAAAGATGGAAGTTGTGGCTCTAAAAGAAAACTGGGAGTCACTACACTTACCAGAAACAGGTGGGGTGGCAGAGAAGGGCTTGGATGCGGGCACTTGCTTTCTTTGTTGTAGCAAGCCTAACTGAACAGAGCCCCTCCTCTCTCTCACTGTTGGCGGAAGCTGACTTAAATATTATAGTAGTTTCAGACTTCAGTTATTCTGGGTTTGTTACTAAACCTTGTATGTACTCCATTTTCCCTCAGGAATATTCTATGCTTTCAATGTGCACACTTTGGGTCTTCAGAACTTTAACTAGAATTTCTATGATTCCCTCATCGTGAAAATAAAATTTACCTATCCTCAAAAAAATTATAGTAGTTTCAGGTGTACAACACAGCGGCTTGACAGTCTTATGGATTATATTCCATAGTTACTATAAAATATTGGCTATATTCCCTGAGCTGTACATTGCATTTTTGTATCATTTACTTTATACGTAGTAGTTGGTACCTCTTAATCCCCTCCCCCTCCCATAACACTAGTTTGTTCTTTGTATCTGTGAGTCTGTTTCTGTTTTGTTATATTCATTCATTTTATTTCTCAGGGCTCCCTCAAAAAGGGTGGTGTTAGTATTAAACAGGCCACTTCCCATGGTCCCATGGCTACCTGCCAGAGCTCTCCTGACCCCTGGGGCATTTTCAGTCTTCCCCAGGGAAGGGTTTGCTGAGGTGAGGAAACTCTCTTAGACGTTCCCACGGCTTACGCGCCTGCCTCCCCTGGCCCTGAGCACCTGACCATGTATTCGCCCTGGCTGACCTTCATCCATCTGTCCATCCATCTCAGCCCACATTTGCTGGATGGTTCAACACAGGGAGTCCTGCAGGGGGCCTCTGAGGCACCACTCCGCCCTCCTGAGTCACAGGCCCCAGGTGACCCTATGCGGCCTCCTGAGCCTTGACCTAGGCTCTAGATTTACCTCAGTCTGCCCTTTCCTACTCAGCAGTGCTCAGGAGATGATTTCTCTCATTTCCTGAAGGAGCCTGGGAAGGGGGAAGTTTGGAGGCGGCAAAGGGAAACTGTGGAGGTTACCACACAGGCCATGCCCCTAACATGCCACCTCTGAGTAGGGCGCAGAAAAAACTCTGTTTTTTGTTTTTTAAACAAAAAGGATCAAGCCAGTGGTCAAAAGCTGAACCTTAGAGACAGAGTTCAAATCAGCTGGCTGTGTGATCTGAATCACATATGCAAACAATTTAATTTCACACGGCCCATTTCCTCTCTTGTAAAAAGCAAGACAGGCATGCTTTGCAAGATTACTGTAAAAACTAGAGATATATGTAAAGTGTCTGGCACAGAGTAGATGTTCAATAAATGGTAGTTATAATGAAGATGAAATACAGGCAGGGACACAGTGAGAGAGGGGAACAGAAACCCGTCAATGCCCCTCCTGGAAAGTTTCGAATCTGTGAAACCATCAGACACGTGAGTTGAGCACTAAGGTCAAGCCTTATCCAGGACCTGGGTGTTTCCACTTTAGCCCCAGCCCAGGGTACGCTGGCAACGTGAACATTTTATCAAACAAACGGGCATGTCCACAGACTGATATCATAGCTCGCAAGGACCTGAAAGGCCATCTGGTCAACACCCCATTTCATAGGGAAATCGAAGCCCAGAAGGACAACAGGAATTGGTTAAGGGCCCACAACCAGAAGCCACAGTTGCAGCTCAGGTCTCCAAGGGGCCAACGCGGAGCTCGTCCCTGCTCCTCAAAGTACTTGCGAGGGTCACATACGCAGTGACCCACGGCCGCAGTCACACAGGCAGCCCACAAAACACAGACAAGAGGTCAGGAAACGTCTCCTCACTCACCCACATGGTTGCCTGCCACCTTAAATACTCAGTAAAGTCTCTCTCCCACCCCTCACTCCACAGCTCCAGCCCAGGGCCCCTCTGCCCTCCCTCTGCTACCTCCACATGGGAGGGCAGTGGCGGGCAGGGCACCCTGCAGAAAGTACTCCCATGTGGGCAGCAGGGCAGGAAACAGGGCACTGTATCTCCAGGTCAATTCAAAAGGGAAGGTGGGACAGTGTACGGCTGGTGAGATAAATAATGGCACATTCAAGTGTTCTACACATCCACCAAATCCAGTTTTCCAAGAATTCTCAATGCAGGGAAAATTCTGAAGGCATAACTTTAACAGAAAAAACAGGATACAAAACTTAATCTGCAGTTTTCTACCTCTAATATTTTAATCGATGAATACAGGTATGTACATAAAGTACTGTAAGGAAATGTATGTTAAGAGTGGTTCTCTGGGCTGGGGGCTAAAGGATGACTTGAAAAAATATTTCCCGAAAAGATACGTACACCCCAATGTTCACAGCAGCACTATTTATAAGAGCCAAGACATGGAAACAACCTAAATGTCCAACAACAAATGACTGGATAAAGAAGTTGTGGTATAGTTATACAATGGAATACTACTCAGCCTTAAAAAATAATAAAATAATGCCATTTGCAGCAACATGGATAGACCTGGAGATTGTCATTCTAAGTGAAGTAAGTCAGAAAGAGAAACAAAAATACCATATGACATCACTTATATGTGGAATCTAAAAAAAAAAAAAGACAAATGAACTTAGTTACAAAACAGAAACAAACTCACAGACATAGAAAACAAACTTATGGTTACCAGGGTGTAGGGGGTAGGAAGGGATAAATTGGAGTTGGAGATTTGCAGATACTAACTACTATACATAAAATAGATAAACAACAAGTTTATACTGTATAGCACAGGGAACTCTATTCAATATCTTGTAGTAACCTATAATGAAAAAGAATATGAAAATGAATATATGTATGTATATGTATGATTGAACTATTATGCTGTACTCCAGAAACTGACACAACATTGTAAACTTACTAACTTCAATAAAAAAAACCCACAAAAAACTGTATTCAAAAATAAAAAATTTAAAAAATTAAAAACAAAACAAACAAAAAAATTTCCCTAATTTTCTAGAGTGAACATTTATTGCTTTTTATTCTTTTTTTTTTTTTTGCTTTTATTCTTAAAAGGTCAGGAAGTTTCTGGTTAAGATACAGCAGAAGGTAAGCACCTTTTACATTTTTATTCCCATTGTTCCACAGGACTGTACTTTAGCAAAGACGAATGAGCAACCCATTCTCCCAGGCAATGATGAGACTGGACAGAAATGATCCCCCTCCCTGACATCTGGTCTTCCCTGAGGACTGATTCGAAATTCCTTTTCCCTAGACTGTAACACAGCAGCCTTACCACCTCCAGGCCCAGAAGCCAACACTGATTACACAAGACTTGAATCCATGTCAGATCCGGCCGGCAAGGTGAGGAGAACTTCCCAGGCCCTGGCTGAGGACAGCCTGGAGGGCATGCCAGCCCCAGAGTCCTTAGCATTCCACCCCCAACCCCACCCCCAGCTGCTGGAGTCCGGGAACAGGTGGCAATACTTCCAGAAACATTTGTTGTCTTGCCAGTCCCCAACTAAACAACGTCTAAAAGTCAAAGCAACAGCTGAAAAACAGCCAAATGTGTCTTTAATAGAAACATGCATGTGACCTTACACACACACACTGTTTTGGTTTCTTTAAAACAATTTTTTTTTTGCTTTGTCACGTAGTTACTAATGGAGACCACACAGCAGCGGGCAGCAGTGCAGAGACATGGATAAGGCATGAGTGCGGGAAGCCTCCTGTGCAAAAACTCAAAAGACGAAGAAGACACAGCCAGCTGGGTTCAAATCCTGGTGCCCACAATCACAGAAGTCACATAACAGAACAAGCTGCTTGTCTCCTTGAACCTCGGTTTCCCTTTCCATACAAGGGTAAAAATAAGAACTACTTCAAGGTAATCCAAGCTCTTAAGACAACTGTGATAACAACTGTACAAAACAGCTTTTTATTGTATATAACAAATATATATAACAAGTTATCTTGTCATAAGCATCATCAATAACTTAGAGAAAGGCCAAGGTAGTTGGAAGCCTCTCATTTGGCAAACCCTGGGTGTGCAGCGGGACTGTGAGTGGCCACAGAGGAGCTGGTGGCAGGGGGGTGGTGACAGGCATGACAACCTGCTCTGGGGCCTCCAGGCATATCTGAGTGGCAGCCTCTGGCCAGGCTCTTCCTTGTCCTCCTCTTCCTCAAATAGACAGGCTCAGGGCATTCACCTTCCATCCATGCACATGTCAGACTCTAGACCTGGTGCACAGATACTTCAATACCAAACAATACAGACTTTATCCTGAACACCCATCCCACTCCACAGCAACGTTCCTCCAAGCTCCCCACTTCCAGCTGCTGCCCTGAAAGCCCCCTTGCACACCCAAGGCACCAACCTGGACAGCCTGCCTGATGGGCAGCTGAGGCTGCAGCTCTGAGTTGGAGGCTGGACCCCAGGCCCCTTCAACCAGCTCGGCCCAGAAAATACAGCTGCTAACACATTTCCCCGCCCCCACACAGCCACATTCACACAGAGGGAAACCTGAGGCTCACACACCTGAAGCAGCTTATACAAAGCCTCTAATTACTGCCAAAGGTCTTGGCTGAAGTCCTTAGAGACTTAGATGTCTACAGAACAGGCCATGCAGACATTAAGGGCACCCATAAGGGAAGCCGGGGTCCGTACTGATCAAGTTATTCTCAGGACAGGCTGACAACCCAAGCTGTCAATTTTGAGTTAAGCTGGCTCTGCAACTGTTCTGGATGGGATGCCTCGCAGGTTCTCCATCTGTAAAGGAGGATGCAGCTACTGCGCCCATCAACAGTTCATACCGTGAAAAGGGAACAGTCATCAAGTCACCGATAAGGGTATTTTATCCAACTGCCAAAGGGCTGAGGTTTGGTCCCAAAGCTGGACAACAGAAGTAGAGGCCAGGACAATGGGTTCTAATCCTGGCTCTCATACATCCTACCTGGGTGACCTTGAACAAAGTCACTTTAGCTCTGAGTTTCTTCACAGATAAAATTTGGGGTGGGAACTAGCTTCTGTTTCGGGTTCCTTCAGCTTCAAAAGCTTGATTCTGGGAGTCTCCTCATAGCTGTAAATGCCTGATAAGACAGCCAAACACCGCTGATAATGAAATCGGAGGCTCCAGGCCCGGATCTGAGGTGTCCCTCACTTAACGCGGAAAGACCCTTGCCTTCCCTCCTGCCCCTGCAAAGCAGTGCCAGGAGCCGGGTGTCACAACCTGGCAGGGCTGGGCGCTGACTAGGTCCCAGTCAGGATGGAGGAACACAATGCGGCGTCCGCACGCCTTCGAGACCCACGTGCACGGCTCCTTTAAATGTCCCGGCCCTTTAACAGCTCGCACCGCGCCCACCCCCGGCTGGGGCTCCCGCGGCAGGGAGCACCGATCCCGGCTGAAGGCCGGAGGCCTGGGGCCGCTCCGCGTGTTCCTTCCACTCCCCCAGTTCCGGGCCGGCCCTCAGCCCGGCTGTCCCAGTGCCCTCCCCTCTCCGGCCGCTGGGGCCGCAGCCCCAGGACCGGCGAAAGGGCCGCGACCGGCCATCGCAAGGGGCGTGCGGAGGGCAGGGCCTGGCCCTGGGACTGCGGCTCCGTACTGCGCCCTCCATGCCACCGGCTGCTGGGCCC